TGTGTCTGCCCAAGTCTTCTGAGGAAGAGATATAAACTGAGGAATCAGAATCTTCTTCAGAAAATGCTTCTACTGGACTTGGATCAGCTGCATGCCTGACAGAAGTGCAAGCTGGGGTGATTTTGTAACAGGCCATGATATTGCTGAGACTCCTCACTGTCACTCACATGACCAAAGTAGAAGCTGAGCAGACATTCCCAGCTTTGAGGATAACTAAGTTCCTGTGGAACATAATATCAGAAAAATTGTCTTGCTCACCATGACACAAGGGCAAAACTCCGAGGATTTTGTCAGAGTTGGTTGCCAAGACAAGGTTATTCCAGGATCTAAAAAAGCAGTAGGATATCAGGCCCTGGCTGCAGGATATAAGTCAGGCATCTGGTGGACAGACATTGTCTCAGTTATTTATATGTAGAATGGAGAACTTTTAAGGCTGAGCTCAGATATCCACCCAGAATACAGCTGGAAGCCATCAGTCCCCCTAGAGGCCACCAATACCACCTGAGGAATGACCTACTGACAGGCAGGACCTTGCTCAGAAGTATACCGTTACTTACACAGGCCATACCCTTCAAGCAGGTACATTTGCTTGACTGTCATTAGGGCTTTTGCAAGAGACTAAGATGAATAGCAAAGTAGTACTTCTTGGTTCCATCTCTTATGAACCGTTGACTCTATCTGCTTTCCACACATTCTGCTTCGCTGGGTACCAGTTGCCACAGGGTTTTCAGACAGCATGATCTAAAGTATAATTAATGTTAATTTATTTCTTCATGGTAACGGAGTTGTAGCCTGAACATGCAGGCTTTGTGGTATGTGAAAGATGCCTGGATTGTCATAACAGCTTCCTTTTCTCTTTGGATGCGGTTATGTTCACAGTGCAGCTAAAACAGGCTACAGCATGCCAACACTAGGTGCTCTGTTGCTCTTGCATAAGGAAGGTTCTGGAAGTTACTCTGAATTTGGGTGCTTGAGGGCCTTAGGACAGTGAGTGCTCTACACCGGACCCTCAAAAAGAAGGAATTGGCAAAGCTTCTCCCAGAACTTTGGGACCAAGAAAATCTACCGCACCACCGATGCTATACTTGTTCCCTGGATATCAGCATGACATGAAATACTCCGAGATACGGCTGTCCCATATTTGCTCGGTCAGATCCGGCAGCTAGGAGCCTATCCCCTAGACCAGACCTGGGCATTGTACGGCCCGCGGGCCACATCCGGCCCCTTGACTGACCCTGACTGGCCCGCATGAGGTCACTGGCAAATTAAAAGTCAATGCAAATATATATTGCCATAATATAGATGCAAGCAATACAACTACACTGCTTTTACTTTGAAGGATCTGCTAAACTGAATGGAATTTATTGCTTTTCATGTAATGTTAATGTTAATATTTCTGTGAATATTCATTAAATAGTGTTGTTCTGTGCTCCACATTTTCATTGTATCATTGTAATGTTTCATTTACTGTTTTTATAGAGATATACATTGAGCAGAGCTGTACGTGTATTTGTCCAGCCCTTAACAACTGTCCTATGTGGCCCCATAGGAAAATTAATTGCCCACCCCTGCCCTAGACACTAGTTTCCATTGCCTGACTACTGTGACCACTTAGGAAGAGTCTCATGATGTTCAACCACGACCTGCCTTCCTGTAAAGGAACTCTGTTATTATGTGCCATGCTTGGGCCAGGCTGCATGTGACGTATTTGCATTCTGTTTTGCTTTTCTCCTAGGGCAACTTCACAAGATGTTGGTTCGTATGCTTGGCGCTAAAAGGGTTTTAGCAGTAGGAATGCTCGATGTTCCATCCCTTTTGGCCATGGCCAAGGTGATCCCAGGTGATGGCAGCATAACAATTTGTGCTGCGCAGCCCAGCTTTGGGGAATCCCTCCAGGAAGTGCTTGACTTTTCATCTCCTGGCAACAAAATAAAGTTGAATGTAGGACCGATACTGGACATCTTGAAGGTACCATTTTATCGTTTGGTGAATATTTCTTGAATATTCTCAGCAATCAGTTTAATAATTTTATTCTTTCACAAATATTTCTATCCAGGGTTCCCTGCTCCTCCCTTTTAACCATCTAGGATTGACTTTGGCCAAGCTACATGTTACTTTCAATTCGTGACTAGCAGCTTCTTTGTTTTCTAATTAATCTAAAGTCAGCACAGAAGGCTCAATATGATCCAGACCCTAGAATGAGAGTTCAGAGGCTTTGATCCCTGCCTTCTGTGGTCTCGATGCAGATCTGGGCAAGGACTTAAAGCCCCGTAACCCTACACATGCACAGGCACCAGCGTCCTGATTCCTTTGGATCTTTTTTTTTTTCCTTCAATTTATATCCTGCCTTTTTCCTACAAAGGGCTCAAGGCAGCTTACATCATTCTCCTCCTCCATCTTATCCCCACAACAACAACTCTGTGAGGTGGGTTGGGCTGAGAGTCAGTGACGGGCCCAAAGTCACCCAGTTGGCTCCATGGCCGAGCAGGGACTAGAACCCAGATCGCCTGAGTCTCAGTCCCACGCTCTTAACCACTACACCACACTGGCTCTCTTGGAAAGAAATTGACTTTCTTGGCTCCTAGATAACAGTGCTCTGGAGTGAAATTAGGGTTGTATGGATGCACATGGTGAGATTAAAAGGAAAAGAACTTGCCTACACAGGCAGGCTTTAGATAGGAATGGAAGGAACACGGTTTCTCTTTTCCAGTCACCAGATGCTTCTCCCAGGCTGTCATCCCAAAACCTGAGGGTGGGGGGGGGTCCTATGGATGGGCACAAAGTTGCCTATTTTCTCCCTCCCCCACTCCTGAAACCTCTTGCTCCCTTAATTTCTGTGAGACCCGAACAGCTACAAGGCTCTTGTCTGGCGTTCTGAACAGATATAATACAATCACAAATCAAGATAGAAAACTTTTAAAAAGAGCTTGGAATATAGTCCAACATTTCGTTATACATCTCATATTGTAATTTTCTAATAACAGCCTATGTTCTGAGCAGCCTAGGAAATGTCAATATCTCATGTTGTGCGGCGGCCGGAAAGCATTAATGAAATGCTCCACACTTTTGCTTGGAGATTGTGAAAAATCTCATCCTCATCATCCTCCTCAGCCTGACTTTGCACGGACCGCGTGGTTGCTGCACTTGCGGCGTTGTCATAGGCTCATACTGGCTCTGCTTGCGTTAGTGCGGCAGCCTTGTCTTTGGCTCTCAGTGACACGGTCACAAGTGTCTTGGCCTATTCTGACGGGAAATAAATATATATGTGTCCACTATAATGATTCCGGCAAAGGCACCAGGGGAGAAAATGTTACAGATCACCTGCAATGTGCAAGATTTCAAATTCTTTGGCTCCCCACAGAGAGTGTGAAATTAATTGAATTGCTGTTGCTCTCTAGTGCTCATTCAGTGTAACTGACTGTGAATAAAAATAACTAACGGCAAGCAAACTACATGTGGTGTGAAGATGAAAGAAGGGATCAGGATGAGAGTGAAAACTTGTACCTGGAGCCTTTAAAGAGAACGTGGCAGTTTATTTTATTTTAGTCTTGGCTGCATGCTTTACAAAGACATGGCAAAAGGCTGCATAGCCCAGATTGTCAAAAGGCGTCTAGAGGAAGGCCTGCTCAGAAGCGTTCTTTGCACTTCAGATTCAAAGTGAGGATCAGAGAAGTCCTGAACACACAACAAAGGTGGAACAGGAGACCTTGAAGTGAAAAGACAAAGAGACCTGAAAGAACAATGGAGGAAGGCCAGTTTTTGATGGCATCTTCCAGCCAAATAGCTACTTAATACATTGTTAAGCACTGATGCATCATACACTGCAGTTCCTGGGAATTTTAGAAAAACCCTGAAGTTTTTCCTTTATTGTTTACATGCTTTCTATACATTATGGCTAATATCCATTAAGTATATTGCATCCAGCAAGTGTTTCCCTTGCCAAGGCTGGTCATCTCAGCAAACACGCACGCACACACACACCCACACAAGCTGAAACATGATCAGATAAGATGGTTGGATCTTCTAGTCTCTTCAGGGTTTTTGGCTCTAATTTGCTCTGCTTTGGATCGAGATTCCATGTAAGCATGTCTTTTATCCACATTCCAGAAGATTTGTGACAGCAGAACTAGCTGGGATGTGGATCAGCACCTGGCTGAATACAAACATTGACAGCCACAACCTCTCCTGTAGCAATTCTCTGCAAACATTCTTGGGGGCAAGTCCTTCTTAGTAAGCCCCAAATTCAGTCTCGTATGAGAAGGATCATGTGGCTTATGGTTGTGCACTAGATTTGAATAGTATTAAGGAACTCTCTCCTTTCTGCTCCCTCCCACATCTGTGGCTGTCATGACCATCAAAGCACTGAAAGCATGGCAAATACGAGGTCAACGTACCTATATGTCTTGGAGCCAATGCATCGTCTGTAGCAGGTGCAGCCACCTGATGTCAAAAGCTTTGACCACCCAAGCAACAGGAAAAATGCATCGGCAGGCATAGGCAGACCTGCTACGAGCTCCCACTTTTGAGGGGCTTGGCAGGGTGCGATGCTGAATGTGGCGACAAATGCGCGCAGACCATTCCCTCAAATGTATGGAGGTCCTTCATGTGCTTTCTCCTGTTCGCTGGGTTGGTTTTCTGCCGAGGATACTGCAGCATGGGTTCGCATGTTGGGAGTGTGGGCAGGTCGTTTGAGACGGTGGGTGAAGGCTGAAAGGGAGCGTGAGGAGAGGAAGCACTGGCCAGTGCGCCTGGGAAGGTACAGGAAAGACAGGCTGAGGCCAGCTTAGAACGAGGAGGAGGAACCACTGGAGCCCAGTTGTTCAGTCCAAAGGCATGTACTGGCTGCACCCAGAAGCTCTGGCATTGCGTGAGCTGCTCGTGACTCCTCTGGCCAGCTGCACCCCTGGGCAGAGAAGGGCAGCAGATACAGCAGAGCCAGGGAGCTGCAGCATCTACCAGGACGGCTGAACTGAGTGCTCCAAGCGCCCACCTTGCCAAGCATGCCTGCTGAGCGCAGAAGTGCTGGAGGGGGCCGCCTCAGCCCGATAGTCAACTGCCAGTTTGATCAGGTTTTGCGTGTGAGATGGGAGGGGAAGCCATGCTGCCTGTTGCTTCGTGCATCCCAGTAGTGGTGCACAGGCTGAGTTTTATTTTATTTGACCAGGAGTTCCCAAGTCTCAAGTTCAGGGGTGTCCCATCACACTCCAGCTTTGGTTGAAGGTGAAGGAAGGATTCCAAAGTACCAGTGCAGGCATTGCAAAGACTCTCCCATATCTCCTATGGGATGAAGCAAGCTGCTCTAGGAGTGCTGGTCAGGAGGAGAACATTGCTAGAATTCTACAGGTCTTCCCCAAGCTTGTGCCCTCCAGACATGTTGGACTACAACTTCTATCATCCCCAGCCAAGATGGCCCAATCTGGAGATCACCCAGTTAGGGAAAGCAGATTTATTGGCTACTTGTCTCAGAAAACCCCAGTATGTGTCTCCCATGCTGCCTTGATCTGTCCAATGTCCTTGAGAGTCCCTGGCTGCATCAGCCTCTGTCCTTGAACTGACTGCCACGAGGTGCGGGCATTCTGAGCCTTTCATTGGCATGGCTGGACGCTCTTCCAAGCCAGAGTCCCAGATTTCCTATCCGGGTCCTTTGGAAGGAGGTCAAAGGAGATGGGATCAGATCCAAGCCAAGGACCTCAGGTTGCCGGGTGAGGCAAGCCACAGGTGGCGGGTTCAGGCACAAGGCAGGGAATTAGCAGATGGCTGTGTGCACGGCCTGGACTCATTCCCAAGCTCTCATCAGTTCTGTTACAGATGTTGTTCTGAAAAGCTGCCAAGCTGAATTATCCCGCAGTGGCCTGCTGTTGTGCAGCCTCCATTTGCTTGCTTGCTTGCTTGCTGGATTCTGGGCAGAACATGTGCACAGCCTCCCAGTCCATCTTGTCCCCTCTCTAAGATCCCCAGTCTCCAGCGCAGGTCATCTGAGCATCTCTTCCATGCTGCCGATCTTGTGCTTTCATTGCTTGTGTCTTAAATTCTCCATCTATAACATGAAGAAACTGCCGTGTAACAAAATAATTATGAGAATACATAGATGAAAGGGTGTGAGATCATGACAAGGATGACAGCAATGACAATAATGCTTTGCATTTATAGTGCTCTTTTCAAGTGTTTGATGCGCATTACATTGATTACCGCAGGGATATTGTGGCACTGACGTGTCGCAGTATTGGAATTGCCTAGTACTCCCTAGTTGCATTCAGCTGATTTGCTTGAGTTTAGAAGAAGGTTCAAGTTTCTTAGCTGGATCTAGATGGAGTTTTAGAGCCTTCCATTTGGAAGCCTTAACAAGATCACACTGGGAAGTAATAACAACACATTTGCAAAAGATTCCGGTAATTGCAGCACACGGTGGGAGAACGTTAGGGACGTAGCTGCCTTTTTCATCCTCTCCTCTCATTCCTTCGACAGGCTGGGTGAAGAGGTTGAAGCGCAGATCTCATTTCCCCAGTTTTGCCGCTTGTGAAGTCTGCCAACAGAATCCACCTTGACAAAGTCAAGGACTCCACGTTTAATGTTGAACTGAGTGAATAAATTATGCATGAAATTGTGTCGGCGTCTCTAGTGTGCAGAATTGCTCCTTTTGATATGAAAGGTTAATTCAGAAAGGAGTCCAAAATAGCTGGAAATTGTGGGGATAAGTGGATAGTATTCACCGTTGTGAGCTGTTATTACTAGAAATTGCATTCCCTCTCTAGCTTCCCCCGAGATTTAGCTTTGCCAGTGAATATAAACTGTACTCGATGGAATAGCATCCAGAAGCAACAAGAGTGGATGGCCACCTGCAGTAAAATATTCTTACGGTGTTTTTAGAAGGGGCTCACACTTTCCCCATGTATATTGTGTCCTCTATAGAATATTATGACCTCATTTAGGTCAAGAGCAAGGTCTGTCCATAGTAATGGGTTTGAAGAGCGTCTTTTATTAGAACGGATCATCTGTAGAGTCCACTGTTAAACATTCCAGGGCCCCCATTTGGACATGGAGAGCATGGCAGGCTGTTTGCCATCCAAGTCAACTTAGGGAAACAGAGTACGACAGCGTCATCCGCTCTTCTCTTGCGACTGTCTCTGTGAGCCATGTCCACCCACGTGAGCCCATGCAGGATGGAGCACGGAGGCTCTGGGGCTTCGGAAAGCTGACTCAGGGCCCATTGATCCGTGAAGTGTGGGTAGTCAGGACATGCCTGCGTTTCTGATCAGAAGTATCTGGCAGCTGGGTTTTTTAAAAAGCAAGCATGCGAGAAGTCTGTTTGTTTTAAATCAGGGGCACCTGACTTGTTTTGGCCTGAGGGCCAAATAACACAGCGCTGTGATGTTTTCTTTTGACCTGACTTTAGTATTTTTTATTCCAGGAGTTAGCAGCCGTGGGGGAAGATTTCGATATCATCTTTATTGATGCTGATCAAAAGGACCCCACAGAGAACTATCACTTTGTCATGGAGAACCATTTGTTGAGAATGGATGGGATGCTCTGTGTGGAGAACACGCTCATGAAAGGACATGCCTACCTAGAGAATACAGCAGATGAAAATGTATTAGATGTCAAAAAACTGAATCAAGTAATTAATTCAGATCCTCGCATAGAGCAGGTTAGTGCAATGCAATTAAGGCTGACATCGCTGTTATAATAGCTTTTGCACAGTTTTGGTAGAAGCGATATGTTTGTTTAGGCCCTCCACCTGCTCCTTCGCTGAGCATTAGCATACTGTTTATCTTTATTTAAGCTTCCCTTACTGGTGGGGAGATCTTAATCACCATATTAAGCTCATGTGGGTGCTGTCTTGGGATCAGGCCTTCTCTGCTGGGGAGAGCCGACTCTGACATGCCTTGCCCCCTGCTGGGTGCCTTGCAAGGACTCCTTATGGTGCCAGGGGAAAATAATTTTACTTGCCCGTAAGGATGTGCAGGTCAGCAAATGCTGAGTTTGCTGAAATTCTTCGAATTCCATTTACAATTCATTTCGACTTGAGCCTGTATTGGAACTTGTTTCTTTTCGCATGAAAATCCAGCTATATTTATGCGGGTACTTTTCCACAGGTACACCTCAATTGTGATTGATGCATATTTGTGCAATTGTTCAAAAGTATCCATTTCTTCATGTGCACTTTTCAAAATTGTGCCTGCTATCAAATGCTTTTACTTGGGCTGAGAATCATATTGCAGGCTTGGAAACATACCGACTTCAGCCGCAGATTGCGTATGAACCAGTGTTCAATCCAGAAGGCATGAAATATGTAAATGCTTATTAAAAACAAAGAAATTGAAGCACATTTTTCATAAATGCCTATTTCCCCAGGCTCTGATTTTATCTGCTTGCTACCTGCAGTATTTTTTTCTCAGCTGATATATTTCCTCGACTATTTCAGACTGTTTCTGAAAGTTGTTTTAATGACTGCTCGTTGTTTTAATAATAAATGCTTTATGATTATTGTTTTAATGTCAAGCTTGTGAGCTGTCTTAAAAATGTTTAAGGTGCTAAGGTGAAGTGTGTGCATTGCTGTTTTTGAGTACGCAGACGAATCAATGAAATAATAAGTTTGTGCTAGGAGCTGCTGAAAACTTCTTCATGCAGATATGCAGTTTTCAATGCAGCTATTCTGTATTGCTACTTCATTTAAGGAAAGTGGGTGTATATGGATCAATGTTACGATAAGGAAGCCTTTCCCTAACTTGGCAGCCCTTTTGCACTTCCTTCAGTCCCATTCAGCATAACCAGTTGTTAGGAATCCTGGGATCTGTAGTACAAAATATCTAGAGGCCATCAGGTTTGGGAAAGCTGCTGGAGTTCCCCTCCACAAGTTTCGTAATGGGAGGCAGAAGTCCAGACCTGGAATCAAAATAGAGTTGTAGTCGTGTGAAATTTCCAGATGTGAAAGAAAGGCAAAGGCAGACTCAAAGATGTTGAGTCTATCCCTTGATTGCTCAACCTAGAGGGTATAGGGTCTACCCCATGCTGTCGAGGCGCCACTCCAATCTGGTGGCAGGTGGCAATGGGGGAAGAAAGGCTGCTCCTTGCCCTAAGCTGAGCCTGGCCTTGGAAGGGAGGGAGCTGCACCCAGGCAAATGGCTTGCGGAAGCCTCCTTCTCTGGCCCAGTCACACCACCTGTGCTTTTGCCCTCCTTCTCAACACCAACTCTCGCGTTCGCATCGCTAATGGATTTCGTCCCCCACACCCCGTTTTGTGGGAATCAGAGCCAAACTACATGTCACATACATAGAATATAGCGAGGCTTCCCTATTTGTTTACTCTGGTGGAAGAGAGCACAGTGCCAATTCAGACTGGATGCACTGTGCTCTGGGAGGGAGGGTAAACCCTCCCCCCCACACTCACTTTTCCTGAAATCTTCCACCCAGGAGGTTAAAGCAAAAGGTCTTCATTGTCATCAATAGAAAGTCGCTGTTTTTAGCCCTCCCCTCTCAGAGCGCAGTGGTTCCAGTTGAAATCAGGGCTGTTTATGCCCACATTGAAGTAAAAAAAATTCTCAGCCACATGATTAGTGTAATGTGTAGTTTCTCCCACACAAACTAGTTTCTAGACTGGGCAAGATTATGACCATTATCATCCCTCTTCCCCTTCCCAGATCTGTACCCTGTTTTTGCCTTTTCCCTTCTCTGAGCAAAGATCCAGCAAGCCTTGCTATCCAGCCTAACAGATCCTGTTCAAATCAGAGACTGGATTCACTGCTGTGATACAAAGTCAAAGAACCTTTTGTGTGGTGTTTTGAAAAACGGGCTTGAGCGTCACGTGTGTTGAACAAGTGTGCTCATGTCTACATGTCTGCCTGGAGTAGTTTAATGAAATACCAAGTGTTCAATGAGAACCTGGAAAAACATAGAAAGGAGTTCAGTTAATAGGAGATAGAAGTAAATATGCTTAAACCCTTCTTAGCATACCAGGGTTTGAAGGGATGTGTACTTTTGAGGTATTGTTCTAAGCATTTACTAAATTATACTTTTACATGTCAAGGTATTCCTGCCTGTCCAAGGTGGTCTGATTCTTCTCCACAGAAGTCAGAATTGTATTGATGAGGAGACCAATCCAAATGTATGTATCTCCTTCTCTCTCAAAGAAATGTGTTTATACTTCAAACTTTAAAGAAATAATCCTCCTTTTAGAAGACATCTTCCTGAGTTTCTTCTTGAACTTGATCTGGCTGGGCATATCTGTATTCTTTCCATTCAGAAGAGGAGGAGGGTCTTTTCTGTGGTGGGCCCCCATTTTTGAAATAACCTCCCTGCTGTGTCTCACCTGGCACCAAATTTTCATTGCCAGGTTAAGACAGCCCTCTGCAGACACCTTTAAAGACCTCCCTGGTCATTCAAGGACCTGACACTAAGATCCAGGTGCCTTTTATTCTTGGCCAGGTATTTTTAATGTTCTTTGATGTCATGTTAAATTGTTCTTTGATGCCATGTTAAATTAATGTTTAATTCTTGTTATGTATTTTATCTATTGGCTTTTATTTTATTGTTTTTATATATTTTCTAAACAGTCCCAAAAGCTTTGGCTATATGCGGCGTAGAAATGAAAAAAAGAATTGCCTTTCTTTCACTCTTCGGGATGGCAATAAAATTTGGTCTGTTGCATTTTGATATGAGCTTACCTGGTTCATGCTTCCCGAACAAAAAAGAAAGCTGAAAAACATTTCTACTGAGATATTTCTCTTTTTCCAAATTTTGCATGGCATTTTCCTGTTCAAAACATGCACACAAACATGTGGATATTGGAAGAATTTGATTAGAGGAAATTTGTGTATAAAGCTGCAGTGTGTAAGTGCTTGCTCAAAATGTGCATATTAGGAAAAGTGTGTACAAAAATCTGTGTGGCTTTTTGTGTGCACTGGATTAGAAATAGGATGGAATGAATTTAAGGTTGGATTTAAAAAAAAAACCTGAATGAAATAAAATCTGAGATTTGTCTGTTGCTACAGACAAATGGTACAAAAGCTACAACATTAAATAGGTTTGCATTACAATGTGGACTGAACAAACTCCCCCCACTTCCTACTCGCTCAGTAGGGGGGCTGAGAATCTTAGGACGTTGTAGAAGTAACCCTCCCCCTAACCCTTTGGACCAGTGGAAGGCCTCCTGGGATGGTCTCCGTGAGGGGTTCTGGAAAGGTCTTCTGCCTTGTCTACATGGGGTAGTGCAAAGGACATTTAGGGAGTTGGGGGTGCTGCAGATTAACAGAATCCTGACCCCCTTGTTCCCCAACCCCTGTAAGCTGGTGTGGTTCATTCCTTCTCAGAGGAAACCAAAGGAGGGGAAATAACAACAGCAACAACAACAGAAAAACTGGGTCAGAAGGAGGAAGAATGGGGGGGGGGCTTTTTTGCTTTTTCTTCTTGTTGTCCATGGTCTCCCCTGGATTCTCTGCATGATGCACTAACGCAAGCTGGACTTGCTACATGCAGAACCATCTGCCAGCAATTACAGTGCTATCCTTCAGGTTAGTCTTCCATTTAACTGGCCCACGTGCCTTCTTCCCTTCCACTGTCAGCAGATCTCAGCACTGAAAGTGTGGCTCTGGGTGGCCTAGTGAGCTGTAAATTTTGGTAAATTATTATCAAAAGTGAAGTGGAACTAAATCCTTGCTCATTTACATGATCCACATTCAACATATACAGCTGTTCGCAGCACAGAGAGGTCTGCATTGTGCCTGCCGATGTCACTATTAAAGATGAAAATCTGTCAGGAAAAAAAGGAGACAGAACGAATTCACCATAAGACATGGTTTGAATACAAAGGAGTTTAAATCCAGACTTTTCATAGCAAGGCACTCTAAGCCTGGGATAGACAATATCCATATTTTTAAATGATCACATGCTTTTTGTCCCAAATATGGACAACTTTGCAAATTCTCACCCATCTCTCAGTATAGAGCTTTCTAATCTTGCAACATGTCCACAAGTGAAATTCACAGCTTGCCCACAAGGGGGCACTCTGTCTACAGGCATTCACTGTGGAAAAACTTGTCAAGTTATAAAACACAAGTGTGTAAGCTCAATTGTATGTTACGTTCAACGGCTCACCCTTGGTGCCTCTCTTCTCTCGTTACCAAAAGGGGGTCGTAAAAGATGAAGTGTTTTGGGGCTACCAGCAATGCTGCATCCTTGACCGCCTACGACTGGATGGCAAAGTGGCGTACGTAACAGGTGGCGGCCAAGGGATTGGGCGAGGCTTCTGCCATGCTTTGGGGGAAGCAGGCGCCAAAGTGGCCGTTGTGGATCTGGAGCCTGCAAGGGCGGAAGCCGTAGCCCTGGAGCTGAGTCTCAAAGGTACGGCGTGCGGAGAATGTGGTACATGGGGCAGATAAAGCTCTTGTCCGGCTTTTCTTCCACGTTCAGTGTTAAAAATGCAAGAACCAAATTATGCAAATGCTGATTCCCCAGTTATTCCCATCATTAATATCATTAGCCATGCAAGCCTGTGCTTGTCTAAGTACAAGTCTGGTGGGGTTCAGTAAGACTTGCCCAAAGTTGGTGTGAATAGGACTGCAGCCAAAATCAGAACCTTGTTCAAAGCCATCCATCCTTCCATCTCAGGACTGGGCAGAAGAACATGCTGCACCTCTCCCTTCAAGCTCCTACTTCAACAAAATCCGTCCCTCCTTCCTATGATTATCCCATGTAGGCGCTGAAGAAACCGGAGAAAGGCCCCTGAGCGGGCGAATGTCTTATTATTACAACATGACGTAATGAACAGTTGAATCTGTCTTCAGCACTGGCAACGGGACAGCAGCCTCCACTGTGCAGCAGGGCAGCAGTGGGGGGGGGTTTGGGGGGGGCAGGTGCAGGCCAGGCTATGTGGCGCTCCCAGCTCTGTCTTTGGACCATCTGCTTCCTCTACAGCCTCTCTCATTCTGATTAAGGCAAGGGAGGAAAAACACTGCTTTGCCTCCTGCTTGTTTATTTTGCTATGTACTGCTCCATACTTCAGTATGGAGATATGGGGTGGCTGAGCACAAAAGATAAAACAAATCAGAAATAAATCAATGTGTGAAATGCCAAAGTCAGTAAAAATGTATCAATAACGGCATGGATGGTTAGATCAGGAAGGCCTTCCTGCAATAATATGTTCAGGGGGTGCCTGACCTCCTGTGGCAGGGTGTGCCATGGAAATGGAGCTGCTCTGCTGCAGGCAGGGGTCCAGGTGGGTTCCAGTCTGGCCGCTGGTCCATGCAGAACCACCATGGACCAACCATACATGGACCTGAGTGACCTAGCAGGTCAATAAGGAAGAAGGCTCCCTCTCGGTTCACCTGGTCCCAAGGGGTTAAGTGCTTTCTACACTAGCACCAACACCTTCACCCTGGGCTGGTCATCAAGAAGCACCCCATGAAGTTCCCCCAGCAGTGGAACTGCCTGATGAAAATGGAGTTGAGCTGCTTCATTCTGTGCTCACTCCAGCTTCCAGGCCAGCTTTAAGGGTAGCCCCGCACAGAGCACATTTCCCTGTGGCCAAGCTTTACATAAGCTATAATAGCACATGGAACCCATCAGAACAATGGTATCTTTACTCATGCAGTGTGTGCTTTCTCCATGATGTTCTCCAAGGAGCATCATGAATGGTGCCCCACACCATCTCCAATACTCTGAACAACACTGTAAGGGAGATTTGCCTATGAAATAGTGCTTTGCCCAAGAACAGTTATGTGAACCCCGATCTCCCGATCCAGATCCAATACAGTATCCATTGCACAACACGGCTGTCTTAGTTCTGGGCTGCAGTTAAGACATGGACATTTTCCACCAGCACTAAAACAGATAAATCTACGGCCCTTTCCCAAGATGGTTGTGGAAATATTTGTAAACATGGTCCTTGCACATAAATCCTTTCCACTGTTCTCCCTCAAGCTTTTTTAAAATTTTCAGCAGCCCAATTTAGGTGGATGCAGTGCAAGTACCTTCCTGACTCTTGGCTGCGATGCTTCTGTTAACACAGCCTGCTTTTGCGAGCCATTTCGTGTTATTTAGTACTTTAGTGTTCAAGCATGACTTCTGGGAGATCTATAAGTTTCTCTTCAGGACAGTAATGGGGGAGATCAGAGATAGAATGATCATGTTGGGGGGAAAGGGCTGGGCTGCAGGCTGAAAGATGCTGTTCTGTAGAACAAAATTGCCTTAGAGCAAGTTCTCCAAATCAATTCTTTGTTGGTAAACAAGGATGAGCACAGCTGAGCCATAAGCCTGTTGCCTAGCAGAGATGATTCAGCCAGGAAAGCAAATTACCCTATATAGAATTCTTCACTGGGGCACTTGAAGGCAAAATAACATACAATGAGGCATGACTGACGGGAACAGAAGAGAGCAATCTTTTGTTAACCGGTTCTATATAATACACATCAATCAACCAGCAAAGAAGGTGTTCCATACAATAAATCATGTGTCAGCTATGGCATTTAAGACTTCCCTAACATAGTGCAGCCAAATAGCAACTCTGTTCGCTCTCATACTAATACCACCAAGAACAGACCATCAGCTGCCCAGTCACAACAATCTAGGGCCAGTTCTCACTGGAGTTCTCCCATCCTCTGACTCGTCTCCATGTGTACATTATGCGAAGCATAGCACACATGCAGCCCCAGCTAAAATGGTTGCCAGATATAAAATGTTGGATCAGCCCCATGAATAAATCAAGATGCTTGCACAGCACCAGCTCTCTCTCCGATGGACAAGACAGCTGATATTAAGTGAGCTCTCCCTGCCCCAGGCACTGAAATCTAATCAGACCTTGTCCTTGTTTTCCTAGAAAACACCATCTTCTTTGATGCTTCCTAACTAGTGTTAGTAAAGCTGGTTTCCAAGAACTAGCACGCTAATTTAAAAGAAATATTGGAAAAATCTGAAGGGCTGAGTGAAAGCAGGCTTTTGTGCAAAACTTCAGCTTGTTTGCACGTGAAACCGCAGCCTTTGCTGGGCTTTAGTCACGGCCAGTGGCAAGGCTGGCTTGCTCAAGAGCCTCGGTTCAGTCATGGCATCGCCAGTGAAATGGATCCCACTGGCAAGGGAAGGCAAAGGTTTTGAGGGATGCCAAGTGTGGACCAACTTTCTGACTTGCTATGCAGCTGTCAGTGCCCCTGAATGCCTTCTAAAGGAACGGCTAGATGTGTTTATAACTTAAAAGGACTGAAGGCAGACATTTTAACCAGATTCCCTTGAGAATAAGTCTGATTGAACTCAGTGGGGCTTATGTCATGTACAGGATCACCAGGAGTCTGGAGGGAAGGCTGAGTACAAATGAAGGCAGGCTTCCTCTGCTGCTCCCTCCTTCCGCAAAGGGAGAAAGTGGGGGGCACCTTCACATTCAGGGGCCTCTCAAAACAGATAAGCCCACCCACGGCAAAGGCATACCCACAGGGGCTCGTCGCCTTGACTTACCTGCCCGGAATGGAATGGGAAATAGTGTCAAGAAGGAACTGGAGAAAATTGCCTCCATGGGATCTTGCTAATGGCATGGGGACCCCTTGGGCCCATTCACAGGTCTGGATCCAACCCTCCAAAAAGTCAAGGCCAGTTCTCACCTCAAGTCATAATGGAAATTAAGCGCTTCAATCATTTTTTTCAAAAAGTTAGTGCAAATAAAGAGTTCGAAAGCAATCTCCAGTGTTCATTCAAGCACCACAATTGTACCTTTCCGGACTTTGAAAGATAGCTTAATCACCATTTTTGCAACCATTTTTGGACAAGGAACTCCTCCAATGCATTGCGTATTCAAACTGTCAATATGCGAAGGAGACCCATGTATGTGCCATGATCTCCATCCACAAATGTGGCAGTTGACATTATAGTCCAGTAGATGGTGCCGTGTTCAAAGTTTCTACCAAAATCTGGAAGGCTGGAACAGGTTGGTTGCCTGCATAACACTTCTGGAAAAAAGTCTTTAAAAATGGCTTTGCTTCTTTGAAAAGTACGCACTTGCAGATAATCTCTATTACCATGGTGTCCGTAATAAGGCATAAAAATAAAAGAACAATGTTTCCCACCCCTATGGTTTTTTCAGGGATAAAAAGCATTGCTATAGCAGCAGATATAAGCAAACCAGAAGAGATCCAGCAGATGCTCGATACCATCGTGGCTAAATGGGGCACAGTCCACATCGCATGTAACAATGCAGGGATTAACATGAATTCCCCGAGTGAAGCCACCTCGCTGGAAGAATGGGACAGAACTTTTAATGTGAATTTACGAGGCTTGTTTTTGTGTTGCCAGGTGAGTAATGGATCCCTCCATGTGTTATATAAACATGTTCCCCTTGTCTAAGTGTTGGAAGTAACATCAAGATTGTCAGACAGTTGCTAGCTAAATGTTTACAAGGTCTAACAATAATAATTTGTCAGCCCTGTGTAGGGCGTATCTTGAAATAACATCAAAAGCACCTTGGTGGATCAGAACAGTTGCTAATCATCGTCAGTATTCAGTTTGTGGCTTGGAGCCAGGACTAGACAGTACAGCAAACGTATGAAAAAAACCCATGGACAAGTAAAGATATTCCATTCCTGTTAGTCATGATTAGCTTCTGGAGGCCTGAGACCTGCATGCCAAGGGATGCATTTTGGTGCACAGAGAGTTGATAGGGAATGAACCGAGTTCACTTCAGATTGCAGGAAGCTGCTTCGACTGCGTTAGACCTTGCCTCACTCAGTACTGTGGACTCTGCCTGGCAGGAGTCTTTCCTAGCCCCCTCTGGGGCTGCAGTAGATTAAACCAGGGCCCTCCTGGATGCAGCGCAGGCCTCGCGAGGCCTGTGTGCCCCAGGGTCTCCTTTCAGGGCATTCTACATATCTTCCTTGTGGGTGCAGTCCAGAATGACTGCCCATAAACTTCCGAACTTGGAGGGTTGTGGGCACCGCACTGCAGACAAGAGAAGCAGGGAGGCGAGACACTGCCTGGACTGGGCAGAAGCTGGTGGTGCCTTGAGTCTCCCCTCCCTCTCCTCCTCTCAGCACCTATCCCAAGGTTGGTCTTCTTTCTCTGTGGCCTCGCTGAACCACACAGGCTGAGGGGCCGGAGATGCTTGAAGGTGCAGTCCTCACTTGGAAGGTGGCGTCCTCGCTGCAGCCTTGGGAAGCATATGGGTCACAATGAGAACCCCACCCTTTCTTATGGCTGGCCAGACAGCATCTGCCAGCCATAGGATTGTGCCTGAAGAAGGCTTGGGGGCGGGGGGCGTTCATTGTGCAGTAATCCACACAGGACACACAGGAAACAAGGAGTGGCCAACAACTCTGTGCAGAAATAAGGGGTAATGACATATGATGAGGGGGAAGTATGTGAAGAATTGGGGCACTCTACATACATTCATGTCATTAGCTTTACATTTGTGTCTGGTTTCTTCTTCAACTTTTCCTTTCAAACTCTGCTGGTCCTTATTTTTGCCACAAAGCATTCAGACGCTGGACAACAACCAGTCACCATGGTCGTTGCTGTCTTCATTTCTGCCACATATTAATAGGTGCTTATTTCGCATGCTGGCTGTAAGCCCAAGGACTGCGCAGTATGCTCTGAACAAGCTTTGAGAACATCCAAACAGCCGCAGCTTTTGAAATCAGGTCCTAGGATGTGGGTGGAGCAGAGCGGTGATGGCCTCTGATGACCCTGCCTGTAGTGGCCTCTTTGCTTCTCTACAACTCCAGTTCTTTGCCTGAGATGTTTAGAGGCCCCCGGAACTCCGTGTCTTCTTCTGCTTGTTTTGAGCACATGTGCCTGGGAACACACTCAGCAAGGTCTATCCAGTAGGCAAGGAGGGATCACATCCAGAGCATCTGTTTTACTGACAAATCCATGGCATGATCCAATTCTTCTTCCCCTATGAAGGATACCACTGTTTTACTCCAAGGCCGGGTATTCATGTTGAATGTCCATAGTCTATTCTGAATGTAGTGTTTAAAGCAATGGGAGGGGATATTTATTTACTTGCTTATTTGATTCAGTTTGATAAGTACCCCACCTTCCTATGAAGAAAAATGGCACTCAAGGTGGCTCCCTGACCACCTTGCTGCTAAGGTGCCTTACCCATCCAACTTTAAGCAAACATATAAGCACATTTCCTTATTGGCTGCTGGAATTACTTCAAAGCACAGCAAGTCCCTCAGCTGCCATCTTCTTTTGCTATGAAAATTGTGAGGCCTGGGCTACCGCTGCCCTTGACCTTAGAAGCTATTTTGTGGTGGCATCCAGGACAGTGTCTGAATTTCTCCTTGGGAACGCAGAGGTTGTCTGGCCCCACTTTAAATGAAGACTGGTGCACCAGCAGGGAGCAGAATGGGACCACCCTGTCTTTAGTTCCAAGGTGGCTGGTGCTCAAAGCTTTGTGGAGGAAGGGGAATGCTGTGATGCATTCAGAAAGGGGGGGGGGTGGCTTTGGACAACCGCTGGAAGTGGCAGCTGGGCTAGCTGGAGCAATGGAGGAGGCACTGGTGTGTGTGCCCATGCCGGCTAGGGGTGTCAGAGTGGGATTTTGCTTGCAAGAATGCGTGGGTGTTCCGGGATGTTCTATTTTTCATTTTGATTGTGACTGTGTGTGGATGGAATGAATACTTCCTTTTTTGCCTGGGGCCAGCTCATTACCACCAACACCACCACCATTGGGTTGGCTGGTGAAACAAAATGAAAGATGGCTCCAGGGGAACACGGTTGTCTGGGTGGTTTTGTGGGTGACAATAATTGCATGCGGTGGATTTTAGATGCTTTTGGAATTAGCTGCTGGGTTCCAGAAAATGTTTTACTGTGTGTCTCTCAGGTGATGATGGGTTTGTGTAGCTGTGTGGTTCTCTCCTGACACCTTTCTCCTATATATACCTTCCTGCATTTCTTAGAGTTGGTGCAGAATACATATGTAAGAAATTAAAATGAAATAAAATTATTGCTGGCTTGTGTTGTCCCAATTCTCTGTGAATTTCTTAGGTCTATTGTCAAACTAGGACTGAAGGCAAGATCAGCATCAGCAGCTGAATTTATGGTATAGCTCTGAAATCTACCTATTGCTTTTGGAAGCCACTTTGGAAATGCAGTAAAAGGGCCATAGAAACTTTCCTGCATTAACCATTTTGTCATATCAAGTTTCTACATCAAGCACTTTAGAGAGGGGGAAAATTAGTTAGCACATAAACTCTTCTGAAAAGTGAGGACTAATTTATTATCATGTCATTATTAGCAGAATCACAAAAGGGGTCACTGGTCTCTCCTTTAATTTCTGTCTCAGGCTGCAGGCCGCATTATGCTGAATCAAGGGTACGGGAAGATAATTAACACGGCATCTATGGCAAGTTTAATAGGTGAGTGATGAGAGCTAACAGTTGTGCTTCAGAATCCATATTTTAATTACTACTGATGCTATTTGAATCAATTAAACCTGTATTGCACAGAAGTAAATCACTGACATTTTGTATTAGGGAAAATGTACTACAAAATTTTTATTGATATCATTTTTCAACATTTATCTGTCCTCTCTCTTTTAGAGTACTTATTATACTTTATAGAAGAGGTGGGGTTAAAGCTCCCCGAGGCAGACACATTTCATTATGTAAGAAAGGTGTTGGGTGTATTCTGCCATCCACAATTAGAATGAGAAGCATATTATTTCTTTCATTACTGAGAGGGTGTCCTGAAGGAATTACCTGCTGTGTCAGGGACAGCTGGAGGTAGGACTAGAACTCAAGTCCTTTGCATGGGTTGGGAGATGCTTCTTTTACCTAATTTGCTATGGTCTGAACCAATCTGGATATTATGCAGAAATGGATGTGGACCAAAATGGTACCACATGTGAAAAGCCTCTTGTGTGAGCATGGGATACGCTTATTGGAGGAGTACCACTGATTCATTCCTAATGTGCTACATCTACCACATGCAGGAAGCTTTTTACATAGCATAGGAAGGAAGAGATTCCAAAATATTTTGTGCACCTGAAATTTGAAGTGGTTCTGTTCCAGAATGCCACAAAATTATTCTGCCTAACTTTTAGAATGGCCCCAAAGAAGCTGTAGGGCAGATGCATGGCAGCTCCAGCCTGCAGAGTCACCTTGAGTTCCTCCAGGGCTGGGGCTGGGCATCCTCTGGCCGTGAAGGGCTGGACAGGTTACAGGTTGCTTTCCCAAGACATGGCTCTGCTCGGCTGCTCTGTACCTTTCCTCCATTTGGAAATGGAGCTCCAGCACAATCCGCTGCTTGGCCAGGTGAACCGATCTATAGCTAGGCCAGCTCTGGGTTTTGAACATTCCTGGTACGGTGAGCTCAGATGAGTCTCAAGGCTGCGGCGGCCAAATGTGGTTGCCCTTGCCAGTGCCTTCTCCCCTGACGCATCATCTCCCTCCGACGTGGCACCCAGAGAGCCATCCTGTGCTTGTGGGTTGCTGCCTTGGTTCTCCAGCCCCGCTTGGCTCCAGTCCTTGTTTGTTATTGGCAATGACCTTTCAGACCCCAACCTTGGGCATATGCTTGACTGTGGCTGCCTGCCTGCCAGCTGGTCCTCCCGCTCTTGCTTTAATACCAATTGTTCTATTTAATGCTTCTTGCCAACAGGTGTCCCCACTAGCGCTGTTGTATCAGCAACACCGTCAAAGAGCCAATAAACTATTGCAACATATGGAACGAAATCCCAACTGCTGAGCTAATCTGGAAGGCAGTTACATGCTGGTGAACTGAGGCCCATGTAACAAAAATTGATCAATTACACAAATTAAGCATAGCCCTTTAGGAATTTGTTTTATTGGTCTGGACATCTGTTGCAGGATTGTCCAAATCCAAAAATCAAATGGTGGCTGTGTGCTGCCAAGTTAGGCCAAAAAAAAAAAAAAAAAAAAAGCCCACACCACCCAGTAGCTATAAAAGTACAACTGAAAAGCTCAATATTAATATCATGTCCATCTGCTGAATGTTACATAAATATGCAGCCTTTTTATTTTCCTTGGGAATAACATTTATTTTTACTGTGCCCAGTTTGACATTCTATGACATTCTGTTCAGTTTATTACTTAGTAACTTTAACTGTTTCTTCAGGAAAAAAAGCATTTATAATGTTGCTCTTAATTTTTTTTTCAAGTACTTTTACCAGCTGTTTCACTTATGGTTATAACACCAGAGAAGCTGCTCTTGCCCAAGTGTAAGGGCTTTTTGTAAAACAAAGTAAGACATTCAAGGAAATTTACAAGTTTAAGTATAAAGAACATAACTATGTACTCTTGTGAAAGAAGCAGCAGCATCCCCTGTTTTGCTTTTATTTGTGATTTGCGATTTGCAAGGAACAACGATATTTTGATAACTTGCATAGCATTTGTTGTTGCTTTTGCCAAAAGCATTTTGAAGCCGCCTCCCGCATGTGGTGACCCTGTGAGTAAGTCCCGTCCTTGTCCTTGACAGCCCTGCTTAGCTGTTGCAAACTCAAGGCTCTGGCTTCTTCTTTGAAACTGATGCGTCTTGTATTTGGTTTTCCTCGTCTTCTTCTGCCTTCAGCCTTCCCTAGCATCACGATCTCACACAAATGAGTCTCACTGTCTGGGCCTGAAGTACGACAGCCTCAGTTTTGTCATTCTTGCTCCCAGGGCCAGTTTTAGCTCGATTGGATGTTGGTCCCTCTTGTTCATCTTTCTGTCAGTCTAGGGTATTCTCAAAGCTCTCCTCCAGCACCAAGCTTCAAATGCATCCATCTCCTCCCTGCAAGCTTTCCTCACTGTCCAGCTTTCACAGCCGTAACAGTGATGGGGTGTACAATGGTGTTGATGATCGATCGAAGTAGGACAAGCATGGGGCTTGCATGAATCACTTGGACACATCTCCTTTGAACGAATGGGCTGCTCTGTATCCCTACATGGGGCAAAGGTTGGGCAGCAAAAGGGCCATTTGGGAACACAGGAAACTGCCTCTGGCTGATCCTCACAGCCCATCCATCTAGCCCCGCCTTCCCCTTCCAGCCTGCTCACTGCTTATGCTCTGGCAGGAAAGGATTCTCCAGTTCTCTGTGTCCTACCCATGGAGGCAACATGACTGGTGGCGTGTGTAGGGGCAGGGCCTTCTCTGCAGCAGAACCCAACTTGGTATGAGTTACTTCATAAGGTCACCCCCTTTCTGAAGATCTTTTAAATTCACTTATTTTCAGCTTATGTTTATTTGCATTAGAAGATTTTAATTTCTCTGTCATGGCTGTAGTTTTATTGTGAGATTTTGTGCAGAATTATACTTGAACTTCAGAAAGGTGGGGTATATATTTCATAACATTGTCAGAGATAATTCTTTATGTAGAAGAAAGGCAAAGAGAGGGAAGGGCGTCCACGGCGAATGCCATTGATGGGACATCATTTGTAGAAAATCTTGCACGCCAGTCCCCCCCAAATTTGAAGCAGTGTTCTGTGCAAACAAAAACAAGTGCTTCCACATAGGCTTTCCTGCTCTAGTGTCAAATAACAACCCCACCTGCTTCTGGTTCGACAGACGTTAGAAAGCTGCTATTGTATTTGCCCTTGACATCCATTTGCCGGATCGCATGGACAGGTTTGCCTGGGCCGTCCACCTCGCCAGCCGAAATCTGCTTTTGTAGAAGCCTTCCATTGTTTAAGAAACTTAAACAGTGCACTCCATCCAAATCTGAGCAAGATGCCTTGTTTATTGCTTCTAGTCTGTCCATCTGTGATGAAGTGGGAGGCCTGATGATTCAGCTTAGAGAAGCCAGACATGATGCTGACTACATTATTCCTGCAGAGAGACAGGAATGACTCCTTCTCAGGCGGTAGACAGGGACCTTGCCCCCTTTCCAGGAAGGACATCTTAGGCATGCAAATCTGTTTCAGTATGTGGATCACCCATATGGACCTATGGACCTGACTCTGGAGCTGTTAAAAATGCTGCAAGGTGGGGGAAAATCCACCTACAACACCTGGAAGAGCATATTGCACCTCCAGACAGATAACAGTATGGAACTGGAAACCTGTACTGAGTTCAGCTATTGGGTCAAGGCAGGTCCTGCATCAAAGGTGTGGCAAGCAGCTGTGGCTGTTTTTAAATTAGTGTAAATGATCTGGGTTCTGGACAGGAAGGTGGCTTTAATTCTTTCCCCAGCCATGGATCTAATCCAGAATGCTTTCCCTGCCAGACGCATCCGCCTCAATTTATACGGCAAACTGGCAATCTAATGCCTGCTTAGACCTGACTGTTTTGCTTCGGTCAGTGAGCCCAGAATAGCACAGGCCTATCTTGGCATGGTACGCTCTGGCTCATAGCAAGGAGCTGGAGTGAGCTGAAACCTGAGGGTCCTGACCAAGCAGGAGCTGGGGCCCCAGAGGGACGGGGGCAGAGCAGCACCGAGGAGAGGGCTGAGTGCTGCAGGGGCTGGACGCGGGGAAGGTCGCTGGTGCGTGGTTCCAACGAGCCGCTGATGAGACCGAGCATTTTATGTGGTTCTGGCCCCCCTTAGGCTACTCCTTATTGCCTGAGGCCTTTCCCTTAAAGGGGCCTGCCGTGTTTTCAGGTTTCAGGCAGCAACACCAGGGCAGCGGCCATTGTACTGTCACAGCTGCACTTCCCGGACTCCGAGGATGGTAACGCAGGCTCTCCTGGACAAAGGGGGCAGGTACCTGAAGCCTTCCTGCCAGAGTAGATCCTGAGGAGGCGGAAACTTTGTGAGGCCTTTTTTAAACTGAGCCTTCCTCCTGGCCCATTCATTTCCTGAGGGGAGTTGTCAGGGGCCTGGATTATGCCTCTGAGGCAGGGAAGAATCCCTCTCCCGTTCACCTCTGCCCAGCCAGCCAGCACATCACTGCTGCCTGATCTGCACTTCTTCCTCCGCATTTGTTGTTCCGGCACTTCAGGGGCATTAGACTAGGGCAAGACAAGAAAGAGAGCGGAGAGAACGGTCTTGTGTCACCCCTCCCTGGCGCGTGGCATGCTAGTAGGGAATGGCATTTCACCCAGGCTGCTCGTGTACCATGCTGCTCTGAACAGAAGCAAGCCAGGGACCAGAGAGGGGAGGGCTGCCCTCCTTTTCCTTTCCAGTCTCCCTTCCCAGTGAAGCACCTCCGCTGCTTGGGCAGAGACGTAACAGCCTTGCAAATGCTCTTACGGTTGAGCAGCCTTATTATGATCTGAGAACCTGCAGAGCACTGCTATGCCTGTCAGGAGAGGCTGAACACATGGCTCTTTCCCAGAAAACCTGCAAGTGAAGCTGGCATCCATTTTTTTGTGCACAGCCGGAAGGGAGACTCTGTCTGGTTCGGTCATCCCTCTGCGCACCCACAAGAGGTGAGGAACACGATACACTCTGTGTGCTGGAGAGAAACTCAGGATCCCAAAAACTCAACTGTGGGCCTTCTGCACCCAGCCTGTATGTGCTGTGCCTATTACTGAGCTAAGGCTAGGTGTGGGAGGGCGGTGAAAGAAGGAAAAGAAGGCAGTGAACACATGGAATAGACTATACCGGCAATTTTGTCAGGGTTGGGGGAAGGAGGGGTAAGAAGCCCTTTGGGGAACACATGGGTGGAGGTGAGGTATCAGCACATCCAGAAGGAAACACAGAATGCTTTCTAACATTGAGGAGAGCATCCCATTGGCCCGTCTGGCCCAGAATTGTCCATGCAACCTGGCAGAAGGAGAAGGATCGAATCCACCACCTTCTGCATGTAAAGCATGCGCGCTTCCATTGAGCGATGGCAGGAATGGCCTGCTTGTGTGGCATTCCGTAATGGATGGCTGAGTTAAGGACTGTGACTAATCCAGGGGGAGCATTACAGGGTCAGAGTGCATCGGGACGAGCGAGTGCAGAGCAACCTTTGGTATCTTTGTAATCTGTTTACGTACAAATACACCAGCAGAGCCTGAGCCTCGGGGAAGCAAGCAGATGATTCGTAGGCTCCTAAGAACAGGCAGAGCAACCACTTCATTAGGTTCCCAAAGACAATCATAATAGTACTCGAAGTGCTTCAGTTTTAACCAGCCCCATCTAAAACATCTCAGTCCTCTGGCTGAAGGGTACAACCTCGCAAAGGCAAGGGGAGAGAGATGCTCAGCCATCCCGGACTCCCTGGCCTGCAAACTAATCCAAGGCACATGGAAATATTTTTGACCGCCTTTCTTGAAAATGGTTCAGTTGGGCACAAGTGCACACATTCAAAGGCAGGCAAATACACAGGGATTCTCACTCGGATTAGGAGAGGAGACTTTGGCATGGGAAGGAAAGGCTTCAGAAGGTGCCAAGATGCACTGTTCTCCAATGGCAGCTTAGCTACACAGGATGCAAATGGCGTCACGAAGCAACTGACCTTTGAAGAACTGGAGTCTGGATAGAGAGTGATCCCGTTTTATTGTGAGCCGTGGTACTTGTAAAAAGGCAAAGCCAATTCTGTGCTTGCAAACTGAGAAGTGAACTGCACTCATTTCTACTTGATGGAAATCATACCGGTGCCAATTGCTTCATTGATGGTGACTTTCCAGAGAAACTTGCCTGCTTATGTGACATATTGGAGCAGCTGAGTACCATTTCTTGACATTATATTTATGCTCTTGTATTGTGGTAGAGTGGTTTAGTTAATTTAAAAAAGTTGTATCATGGCAAAGACAAATAGATGTGGTCATACAGAGGTATTTTCAAACAAAATTATTTCCCTTGAAAACAGCAAAGCACTATTGTGTGCTGAGCTGAAAAGTGTGTTCAGAGTAATTTAGAGACACTGAAAAATTCTTTTCAGAATTAATTTTCTGACATCAGCGTTGCCATATGTGACCAGGTGAGAGCTTATGGTTCAATCCAGATTAAATTAATTACACTTTGTTCCCACTGAAATTATGGGACATAAATTCACCATGACTAGCTCATCCCTTTGATTTCAGTGGGACCCAAGGTCAACTAAAGACGCAATCTTATGCAAGTTGAGATGGAAAAAGGGCTCACAACTCCCAGCATACTCCAGCTAAAGCCTTAATTTTAATAAATGTTTCTGCTGTATTTTCCAACCTTGAAAAGCAGTTCACTGTTGGGTTGCAAAGCAACTTACCTCTGCCTCAGGCTGTCTGAAGAACCACCTACATGGGGCACTTCTGGCCCTTTCCCAGAAGATGGTTTTCAAATCTTTGATCAGCTGCCGCATGCTCTGCTGACCCATTTTGTTCCACAAACCAGCATGTTGACTCAAGTTGCTTTTGGGAGGGTTAGCCTCCCATGGGGCAAGCAATGGGTCCTGCTGGCATGTGGGGAGTCGTAGATGCCCCACTGATGTGTCCATCAAGTCCAGAGTTAGCTACTGTGAGTGCCAGTGGCTCCCAGGAAGATGGGGGCCTCCTGCATACAGAGCGTTTGCTGCCTTGCTAAGTGACAGCCTCGAATCTCTATGCAGCCTCACTCTGCAAAGCTGTGCAGCTTGCACATGCTCAGGGCTCAGTCAGCATTTCCTGCCCTGCTTGCTTGTTTGCTTGTTTAACTATCACAATAGATGCATTACATTGCTTGCACTCTGTACAGTAAAAAACAAAAGCAACGCTTGTCCATTCTTAGCTGATAACAAATTGATCCTAATATTCTGGCATATGTGTAGCCGGGGTGCCTTTGAGAAGGGGGTCCTGAAGCTAAGAAGCAGACCAGAATGAAAAAGTCCTGGGAATCTACATGGCAAGCAGGAGAGGGCAGCGTGTCAGTGGTCTGTATGTCGGTTCTGAGCTACATGCAGACATTTCCAGGCCTGACCCTGGTATTCCTAGATGGGACAGGAGAAAGTCCTGCGCCAAACCCTGGAGCACTGACTGCTGCCAGTCAGTGTTGGCCATACAGGGCTAGATGGACCAATGCCGTGATGTAGTGTAAGTCGCGCTATGCTTCTGTGTGCTGCACTTGTAGGTCTGGTCACAACTAGCTGAGTAAATAAATAAGTTTCTGGGTTTCTGGGAACAGAAATCTCAGATGGGGAAGATGGAAAAGCATTTAACTCCTCTAAGCAAATACACTGCTATTTATCATAAGCGGCGCAAGCAGGCACATTTGGAAACTTTAGCAGGTGCTACTTTTCCAAGGTGATCGGGTTAACTACCAAAGTTGTATGTAACTTGGATCCTGAGCAGAGTAATTAATCAAGAAATTAGATTCCTCTCCTCTTCTCCAGCCCACATGGAGAGTTGGGATGCAGCATGCCAGGCTAAGCAACAGCGAAGGAGGAAAAATATTTAGAATGAAAGCTGATTGAACAGATAGGCTGGCTCTGTAAAAAGGGTTTCTCTGTTGTAAAGGAAAGGACTTTAAAAACATGTAATGTTATAAATCCAGTTTTATCGTTCTGTGGGAAAAGGGAGGCAACAATTGGCTAGGACCACGGTCTATGTAAATGGAGGCATGTTTCTGCATGCTTTTGTACAATTCAAGAAAAATGCCTTTTATTTGCTAACCTTTGTGTCTTTCTTTTCCACTGTACTGATTGCAAGAAATACATGGGAAAGCAAGCAGGCATGTAAAACACCATCAGGTGTATCCTTCAATGGGTTACGACGGTAGTTTTCATTTGGTTGAGTTCTCCAGACACTGTTTCAGGATTAGAACATAAGAACAAAGGCAAAGCCATGCTGGATCAGACCAAAAGTCCATCTAGCCTAGTGCTCCATACACACGGTGGCAACCCAGCTGCTCACAGGATCCCTCGAGCAGGATGGGTGCAAGAGCCCCGCCTGCCCAAGCTCTTCGGCCACTGCGGTATTCAGGCTTCACCTCTGCTGAAGGAGGGAGCACAGAGCCAGCAAGGCTAGTAGCCACTGATCGCTCCCAATCAAATCAAAACCACTCTGCAATATAAAAACAGTCACATGTAGTTTTTGACTGTTCTACATTTCTTAGCCTTTTCTAAGGGAATATCCTAAATCTTACAACAGTTATATTCTCTACATGCAAACTATTTTTTTAAAGCCCTTCCCTGAAGAAAATTGCATTTAATGTGTATTTATCTCCATTGTGTTCCAGTTTTAAGCTTCTTGAGAGTGGAGATAGGAATGGGTGGCCGCTAACAGAAACGACGGCTGACATACATGGACCTGTGATCTGTGGCAGTGTTGCCTTTTATTACATTATTCTGTACAATAACTCTCTACGAGTAGGAAAATAAGGACTAGGTTAAAGCCAAGGAGGGGGCATAAAAGTTGTCAGACAAAGAATAAATTAATTCTGGGGTGGTTTCCTGGTGGACTGGCACTGGCAGTGTTCTGGAGGGTCCTTTTGCCAAGGTATTAAACCCGGTCTAAATCACACCCCTCTCAACAAAATGGGTTGTTAAGCAGAACCGGTTATACTTACCGCCATGATGTTCTTCTCTCTCCCTTTCTTTCTCTCAATATTTTAATTCATATTGCAGTACCTGGCCTAAACACTGTTTTAAAAGGTTATGATAATGGTTGGGTTGCTAAAAATAAAATGTGTTTGTGCAGGTATATAAGCTCAAGGAAAGGGGCAGGACGTACAGAAGATACCAAAGTAGCTTGTAAGCGTGAACATTATAATTAACAAAGCTGATCATTTTAGTTTGTGACTGACATGTGACATCTGTGCATCTCCCCCCAACCCACCCAAAGCATCCGACACTCAAGATGCTACGAGAGATTGACATTTGGGGAACACAAGCCTCTGTATAAATGCTGCATCTTATATAATCCTGGGTTGGCTTTATATGATCATGTAGAGAAAGCATAATTGATAACTTTTAAAAGTGAAGGTGCATCTGTATGCAATTGTTTTAGGATGCAGCTTCAAACAGAATTCCTGGGAGTAGGTCAGCTTGAAAGTAATGGGACTTACTCTTGAGTAAGATTCTACTCTTAAACATTTATGTTAGTTACTTGGTTAATTTGCTTGTTTGTTTGCAAGCATTTTGGGTTCAGTTTTCAATGTGTTGATACAAAAGTGGTATATCATAGATTTATAAATATGCAGACACAAGCTTGTCTGTGCGTGTACATATACCGATAACTGTTTCAGTTTTATTTACTATTTTCCCAATAGCATATGTTAAATAAATTTCTGTATTTCTGCTTCCCTGCTCAGTCCCCCACCCTCAGAAACAATTAGCTTACAACGCTTCAAAAGCCGGGGTTGTAAAGTTAACTCAGACGCTGGGGACGGAGTGGATCGACCGAGGCGTGAGAGTGAACTGTATCTCTCCGTAAGTAGCGTGTAGGAGTGGGTGAGAATGTTGCTCTTTCTTGATAAGAATGTATCACAATTTGCAAATTTCTTCATAAAAATTTCTTCATTTATTTGTAAAAATAAATAAATGTGGGGGAAACGAGAACCTGGCAGGTTTCGGCTTTGAGTGGTTAGCTTTTAAACATCTGGGTTTGAATCCATGCTTATTTAACCACATTTGTGAACTGCATTGGAGTGGCTACCTCTTTTTGCCCCCTTAAATCATAAAGAGCTACATTGTAGGCAAGCAGAACAGAATCACCTTCATGTCAGAAAGAGTTTGCGGTTTGAATTTGGTTGGTGCTACCGGGTGGGAATTTTGTTCAGTTTGGCTTTCTTATAAGAATTTACCAAAATTCAGAAATGTCTTCATCACATAAACAGGACAGAATAAATTTGAGATCAGGGACATTCGAATGTGAGAGAATGTGAAATTTGACATCTCCAGTAAAATCTAATTTTAGAATAAGGAAAAAACAAGCCGACAGAAATTTACTAAAGACCTAGAGTTAAGAAAATGTAGGGAAACAAAGTTGTTAATTGGCAAAACTTGTATTCCTTACCCCCCCCAAAGAAGAATCTGTCAGCACAACACAAATGTGAAGTCATCCCTCTCACTGCGTATACTTTGGGATTTTAAAAAAGATTCTACTATTTGATAACAGGTTTTCCAATGACATGAAGGGTGGTTTTTAACATTTCTTTTCCAGCTGAAATATTTCCTTACTACTGTCCAAGTCTTCTGTGGTTAAAGAAAAGGCTTTTGACACTTTACAGACAACGCTCTCCCCCAGTCCCCACCTTTTACCTCAGACAAATATATAGGCACTTTATACAACTATAATTTAGATGCTGTTCAGCAGTAGCAATTACAGGATACCTAGGTATTATTTTGTTTCTAAAAAAATATATATTCATTACAAATTACATCGTACCTAATTTTGAAGGCTTAAAGATTGGAAATTTTGAAAAGAAGAAATTTAACGGGAAGTCTGTTTTTCTTTCACTGCTCCCATTCATTTCAGTAGAGTTTTCACAGGATAACTCCCTGGTGGATTGTGTCCTTTGTGTTATATCATATATAAAGAGGATCGAGATGGATGGATGATGGATGGACAGAGAGACGGGCAGAAGCTAGCCCTGTTCCGGCATTTGGCCGAGTCCGTGAGGGCTCAGAGTGGACAGAGGGATCAGGGAGTATGTTGGGCGAGTCCCCAGCATCTCGCAGGACACGGACCCTGCCCTTTTCGTTCAGAACCTGCCATGCTGACTGGCACGTCCTGAAAGAGAACTACCTGTGTGTAGGCACCCTGCCTGATCAGCGTGAACCGCCCTGAGTCTGTCCCATTTTAACTCTCCTGCAAGGAAAGGTTGCAACACCGGGACATTCAGCTTAGAGAAGAAATGAGTAAAGGCAAACATGACACGAGATGTACAAAATTAGGGTCGGTGTGGGGAAAGTGAATGGGGAGATGTTTTCTTCCTTTCTCCTGATGCTAGATCCCAGTGGCAGACTCCCCATGAAGCTGGGTAGTTCAGTACAGATCAAAGGAAGCACTTAGCACTATGCAACTCACTTTCATCAGAGGTAGTGATGGCCACCAATTTGGATTGGATGAATTAATGGGGAAGAAGGCTATCTATGGTGACTAGTCCTCATGGCTTCATGCTACTCTCATGGCAGAGGGAGTATGCCTTTCTATACCAGTTGCTAGAGAGGGTGTCAGGGGGGTGCTGTTGCTTGCGGCATCCTATGGACAAGCAGTCGGTGACCCTGTGAGCAGAATGATGGACTGCATGGACCAGAGCCTTGATCTGGCATGGCTCTTCCTAAGCCTTCGCAATTTCAGGCCAATGTCTGAAAAGGGTGTGTGTGTTTGTGTCAGAATTGCATCATTCCTTCCACGGAGTTATTAAAGCCTAGAATGCCACTGCTGTCAACACAACGAAGTGCAGCATTAAAGCTACGCAATAACAATAAATGCTGATCAGCACTGAAACGCCACTCTCGGTGGCTGTGTGCTACAGAGCATGGCTGGCCGGGAAAACCTGCCCACTGCAGGGAAAACCTGTGCGGGGAAATGGTAGTTTAGGAGATGCCTGAGCATCAGAGCCGTGGGGACCTGCCTAATGACAGCTGGTCTTCTGTTTCCAGAGGGTGGTTGCTGTGACGGTGGATGCTCTGGAGAAGGCAGCCTCTTCCGGTAGCTGCAGCTGATGATTGCAGTGCTAAGGGCAAGAGGACAAGGGCTGGGGCAGTCCCCAGGGCAGCCCGGCCCCAGCTTCATGCCCTGTAGCATTTCTCACATGGTGAGAGCCAGTCGGTAGGTCCACACGGAAACTAGCCTGGGTAAGGCCAGCCATGCATTTTGGCAAACCTCTCCCTGAGGACGGGTGGCCTGGAATGTGCCTTCGGGGCTTGGCGATGCTGGCCAGAGACTGTTCAAAAGCATACGTGCTGCTCATGTGCCTCTGAGAGGCAAGGAGAACAAAGACAGCACGGCAATGACTAGTTGCGTTGGAGAAGAGCACTCTGGAGTCTTATGGTGTCTTGGTCGTTTCTGCTTTATTTACCAGTGTGCTTTATTTACTGATATGTGCCTTGGCCCTGGAATAATCCAGGCGCTTTGAGAGCAAGCAGTACAGCTGCTGCTTAGTTCTGCAGCTGTTTCATTTGTACCCTGCCGGTCCTCCAGAAAGCTCAGGACAGCCTGCGCTTTCCCCTCCTCTCGGAGCAATGCTGTGAGCTAGTGGAGGTTCATGTCAGAGATGGGCTGGAAGTGCACCAGTCATGCCTGAGCAGGGATGGGCTTCTTTGGTCAGATTCACGGAGGACAAGGTGATCTACTAGTCCTGATGACAAATTGCTGCCTCCAGCTTCTGAGGCAGGATGGCTGTGTACATCAGTTGCTGGGGAGCATGGGTGTTCTTGAACACCTGCCCTGCTTGTGGTTTTGCCATGGGCAAGTGGTTGGCTACTATGTGAACGGAATGCTAAACTAGGTGCCCCCGGTCTAAGCCCATCACACTCCCTCCCCTGGTTCCCAGTGACAGCAACCGCACCCAAGGAAGCTTCAGTCTCTGTTCCTCTCTGCTACTCACCTAAGGATGCTTCACATGATGCTTCACATCATGGTCAAATCTCTCACTGCCCATAAAGGTTCACTTCAAATTTG